TCCCAAATCTTCACACCCTTAGCAGAGAGCTCTTTGGCATTTGTAGAACCCTACAAAACACAGACAATAGGAAATCTACATTCCAATCCAAACACAGAGGACATAATTTAAAACAGCTGTATTAAGCTTTGCTATTCTCTAGTATTTCTCCACTTATACAGGATGAACAGTCTGAGTAATGTACTGAATAAAGATCTTGCATGTGGACAGAATAAAACTTATGAGCAACATTCTAGGATGAAATTTGAAGTGCCATGCTTCTGTTGTTTAACTCAGAATTCTTCTAACTTTGTGAATGCACAAACAGTACAGTCTCAAGGTCAGCTGTGGCATATCACTCCATACACAGTTGCAGAGAACAAGATTTTACTTTACAGATAGATACGGGTAGACAAATAAAAAATTTACAGCCTAGGGATCGTCTTTGCCAAGCCACCTATAATGAGCTTTGGCTCTTAAAATTCCTTTTCTTAAAATGACAAAAATTACAATTATGATAGAATGACCCAGAGAAATATCACTGAGTCTGCAACATTCAAATCAGCACACTCAAAAATCCAAGCTAGAAAGTGTTCTGTCCTGGGGAGTGTCTAGTCTTTCACATTCGAAAAAAAGACATTTTAAAAAATGAATGTGTATTTGAGTCCTGCAACCTGGCAAATGGTTAGGACATTTTCCCATATCTGCACAATATTACAACATATAAAGGAATACTTACATTATAATTTATTATCTACAGTTGAATTTTAATGCTCTAACTACAGCTATTAGCTCTCTTAAGAGCTCAGGCTTTTGCTACTAAAAAGCCTAGTGTTTACATCAGTCTAACTTCACCTGTGGTTCTGCACTGCTTGTTTCTGTTCAAATCAATAAAAGCTATCTCATTATTTCAAGGCAGATCATTAAATTACCTATACTCTACTTCATATTACTATTTCCTGTTCAAACACTAATAAAAGAGCCTGTACTAGCCTATATAAAAGTGGGATATTGGCAAATAACTGAAAGCCCTCACTGTTTCAGACTGTATCACTTATAAAGAAACAGAAGAACTTTTCTGATTGGTAACAATGCAATAGCCTCCACTAAAATCCTCAGAATGTCTTGAAGATAATGGCCTTCTAGGTGTAGACAAAATACTCAGTGGTTGCACTTCTGTGATACGAACATAAGCAACCCCAAACTGCTCAATCCACCCCACACTAGTTCCTTCTGTTGATCCCACTCTCAGGCACACCACCCTCAGAGACAGCCAAACACCAAACCTTGATGAACCACAGCAGCTCCTCCAGTACTCCTTTCCAGAACACCCTCTTCGTTGTTAGCAGTGGAAACTGATCTGAAAAAAAAGTTTGAGTGTCAGAGGTTTGGGTATGAAGTATTAAGTTGGTAAAACCACAGAATCGTTTTTGTTGGAAAAGGCCTTTAACATCAGCAAGTCTAAGTGCTAACACTGCCAAGCTGTGACACTCGGGATGTATGATCCTTGTCTCAAACAATCCAAGAGATAAACAATGTAAACCGTGTATTCAGATGGTGTTTGCCTTGAGACATGTAAGAATTAAGCCAGAACAAAGAAACGTCTCAGCAGCCCACCGAACCAGTTTTACTCAACTGATAACAGGCAAGCTCCTGAAACAACGGCAATGAACCGGGGCATTTGATGTGGGATGTGCTGAGACTGTAAACCAAGAGGCACACAGCTGGTGCAGCGAGCCCTGAGCAAGGACACCCAGCGATAACCGCGCCTGACAGGTACATCAACAACTTGGCAGAGGAGCTATGGGTAACCGACCCAAAGGAGCGCAGGAGGTGATAGAGCATTTTTGCTACAAACGTGGCACGGTGATTAACTGCCGTGGAGTATCCCAGAAATCTCCTGTAGGAATAGAGCTCCAGTCTGCAGATGCCTGGGACCTCTCGGGAGGGGTGCTGACTTTCCTTTAACTCTTTATTTCCTTCCTGACCTCTCCCTTTCATAGTTGAGGGCTGGTTATCGCATCTATTAAAAACTTACGCCAAATATATGGTTACAACTCTTACTAGCCGATCTGTACCTAAAAAAAAGCCTCCTTGTGCACCCGACATTGTATGATCTTTGCTTTGCCTTGGCAGGATCACAAAGAATCCCCACGTGTCTGGATGGTGATAGAAGCCCACCAGTAAATAAACCACGTCCCTCAGCACCGCATCGGACATTCTCAGCTCAAGGAAGACAAGAGCCCGACTTGTCTTTCCTGGACGGAGAAGGAAGATGGAACTACCCGCGGGTGCTGTGAGGAACCGTCATGTGTGTGCAAATACTTGCAATGGAAAGCAGAGGCTTAAGGTAAAACTATTGGCAAATGTATGTCACAAACCATCCCCTACTCCGCTCGCACGGCAGGAAGGACCAGAACAGGCCATTTCAAGACCTTACCCGTGTATTCACCGCGGGACAGCTAAGGGGCCAAGTCAGGCTGTCGGGCCGAGGTTGGGGAGGAGCCCGAACTGCTGCCAGTGCAGGGAGCGGGAGAAGGAGCC